TGAGATAGCAAAGATTAGCCTGAAAATTTAGCACATTTCACATTGTAGGTTTTCGGTGTATCTTTCTCCTCAATTGTACATCAAATCGCAAGAACTCTGAAAAGGTACCTATTTTTTTTTTCCGTTTCTTTCTCCTTCCTCATATTGTTGGTGCTCAAAACTTCTGTTTCCAGAGATTTATTTTTATCTCCATTGCACTTCAATTTTTTTTAAGTTTACAGAAAAAAGTTCAAAGATCTACATTTATCCCTCTTGCACGCAACTGGTACTTGATCGGGCAGGGGGCAGTTTGATTTCGTGCAACACCCTCGCAGCAGGAAGAGGCAGTTGTCATTTGAAAGGAAAGGGCTTTTTTATATATTCTATAAATAGGGTTCCAAACCTGCCCATCCTGATGAAAAAGCCCTTTCTATCTTATTAGACAANCGTCCTTATTGAAAACTAAAGCGCTAACGAGCAAGAAAACGGATGCGATAACGCGCCTTTACTAAGATTCTAATCTAAAGTCAAATCCATAAAAAATCTATATGTTGCCTATATATACACATATATGAATGATTCAATATAACAAAAATTTGACTCTTTTTCCGGAATTGCAACTACCCATTGCAAAAAATTTGGCTTATTACGATTCTCAAAACTCGCTAGCTATTCTTTATAAATGTCTAAAATATTTTATGACTAATGGATTTCAAACAATGATACTCACAGCTGTTGTTAGAACAAATCATTTTTTGCCTCTTGGGTGGCATGCCAAGTTCTCAAGGTGCTTTGCAGAAGAATATTTTATCACCGAAAAGAGAAAAAGATGTGAAGTGGAAGACTCATTTGCCCAGAACAATTTTTTCGTATTGGCTATTGCTCTAAGCGCATAGAGGAGATTGATGAGTACACTCTTATTCTATCCGTACTTGTATAACATCATTGAACTTTTTGTCCAAATTAGTATGCTGAAATTTGTATAAACCTTCTATGAAGGGTAAGCTCTTATTCTATCCTGTTTTTCTTTCCAATAAAATTTTGGAAAAAAAAAAGAAATAAATCCATAGCGATACCAAAGCAGATAAATTCCTAAGTTGATAGAAGTTCTTAATTACGTTTTGCATCACTTAGCTTGCTATACCAAAGCTGATAAAATCATAAGTTTACTATGATTTTATTAGACCAAGTTGTTAATCTGAGTTCTTTATGAACAGCAAGTACAGTAATGTTATAAACCAAATCACAGAAAATCTTAATATAGTTGGTGTTTCGAATTAAAATCTGGTTGAAAAAAATCCATGCAGTCCAACAATCAGGACTGACTGTAAAATACATAGTAAGGATGGATTCATGGGACACTAGAGGTTCAAATTTTTGCACTTGTCATCTTTGATAACTTCATGCAACTCTTCCTAAAAATCAATGTTCTATATGCAATCGTTCTGTTCGATAAATGCAGCGGAGTGAATCAGTTTATGAAATGCAGAGGAGTGTATACACCGGGTAAGTGCTATAATTCTGCTTTCCATTTTACATTTTGAGCTGTGGCGCTTTCGAATGTTCAACCCCTCTCAATTTTCAGTCCTAGAATCCTAGTTCTACAGCAAGTTAAGGATGAAAAATAAAATCTTGTAACAGTAACGATGTACCAAATAAAATTGCATACAAATACACTCAACTATACATATATGTACAAATACATGCAACATAGGTAAATACTGTGGGCAAATGAGACCTCACCCGGCATGATTTCGAGGCGATCCAAACCCTGTTTCTCAAAATCCGCAATAATTTCATATGCCCGTTTCTGCTTGTCGGGGCTCCATGTCTCAATATGGTGCAAAATATCAATACCAGACGGATTCTCGGACTTAATTTTCAAATACTCTTTTTCCCCGAGAACTGTTTTGTACATTGCAGGGAAATCGATGACGGGAACCGTTAGGGTTCCGTCCATGTCGAACACCACGCCTCTCAGGCGGGCCTTGGTGGTGGCGGAAGGGGCGGAGGTGGTCATTGACGAAAATGCCCTTCTGGAGTGGAGGAAGTGGAGAGTTCTCAGAGTGAGGATTTGCATTGTTCCTTTTATACTGCGAGTGGATTGTGGAGGGGTGATTTTGGAATTTAATGAGTGAAAATCAGTGGTGGTTGATTGTTGGGATCTGGGAGATTTATGAATTGTTGGATCAGGTAAATATGATTGATTGAGGAAGACAGAGAGACAACCTCAGACTAGACACAGCCTTAGTTTGGTTTTTGCTAAAAGAAAAAAAGATTAATATATGTTTACACAAGTGTAAACATAGAGGTTGACAAATGTTAGTGGGGTGGGATCCACGATTGTACATAAAGGTTGACATAATGTGAGTGGAGTGGGACCACAATACTGTGTACACTTATGTACACATAGCACTTCCCAAAAAAAAAAAAAAAGTAATGTTAGATGTACATCTAATTTGACACTCCCCACACATAAGGGGTGGGTCCACGATTTTAAAAATCATGGGCTCCACCTCCCATGTGAGAGGAGTGTCAAACTTGTTGTACACAATTATCCAAAAAATAAATTCGTTCATTATCAACATTGTTGATATCAAATACATGTTATCATTGAACAGTATGATAAATAAAGAGTATTTATCTTAGCTAGTGTGATACTTTTCCGATAATTGGAGTTTGAGTTTCTCTAAAACAATATGTAATCGGATTACCCAAAAATTTATAAATTTCTTATCATAATTTGAGAAAAACGTGTACATTAGGTTTGCTTTAATCTTAAGCCCGTGTTTTATAGAGATTAAAATTAGATTTTTACATTTTAATAAAAATTAGATTTTAATTTTTTTTCAAATGGGGGAATGTTTTAGAGGCTTGTTCTTATTCACTTAACAAACCTTTGAGCCTCCTTTGCACCGCCTTCCTCACAGAAGCCGCAGGGAGGGTGAAACTAAGGAAGACAACTGAATACTACGAATTCAAAAGAATGATCTCTAGAGGTAATTATCTGGCATTGAGCCCGCCTAGTTATTTCTCATTTTCAAAGACCATATTGATAAGTATATTTTATACACTTGTTTGAATTTTAAAATATAGACATTTAATAATTCTTTTGAACAATTACAGCCTAATTTTTTTGTATATTTTGTTTATTAGATGAAACTCGATGAAAGGAAGTGGATAAAAAGAAAGAAGCAAAAAATAGCGAAAAATAGCAAGATCCAAAGTTTGGAGACTAAAGTGTAAATACCCTTTTCATCACAGCTTGGAGTGCTACAAGATTCGAGAATGCTAGAAATTAATTGGATGCAATTAAAAAGTAAAAAAGAGTGAATTGTGATCAAAATATTTTCACAAATCAATTTTCAACCCCACATATATGTTCTAGAATTTTAGCCTGAGATTGAGACTTCTTTTTGACCTAATAAACGTTCAAATTGGAAAAATGATAATTCTAGTAAAGTTGTATCCCTATGAGTTTTCTTTATAATCCAATTTCAAACTTCTCAATCGGATATCGGCAAAGAAAGTTGTGATAAAAATAATAAAGGAAGTGCAGTGCATATTTTCACCCGAAGCTGAAGCGCCACAAAATCACACAATATAGAGTTGCGGCACCACGGCGCCAATCCCATCGCGTCGAGTGTCGCCTGGGTGTATCTAGGGCACATTTTTTGCCCATTTTGAAGCCCGTAAAAACCCTACATTCGGTACAAACATGGGGAGGAAAATAAATGCAAGTTTTTGACACTTTTGAGAGAGTTTCATACATTGAGGGAGAGAAAAAACATATAATCATTAAGATCAAAGAGCAAAAGCTAGGTTTGAAGACTTTCGAGGTTGAATAAGATTTTTGGTGCAAGATCAAATTCTTTCCACGATCAAAATTTCAAAACTCAATTATGAACTCTATACTTTTTGTTTTTCTTTCATTATTATGAGTAGCTAAATTCCTAGTTGGGGCGAACAATGCAATCTATGTGTGACCATTTATTTCTTTTATTCAAGAATTTAATTCTTTAAATGCATGTGTGTTGATTTTTATTCATGAATTTAATACTGTAAATTCTTTGGCCAATTATTCAATGATTTTGTGTATTTATTACAAATCGAGGGGTGAATTTTAAATTTAGACCACATATTAAAATCTGATAATTTAGTATAACGTATAGAGATATTTATACTAATTATTACGGTCATTAGATAAATTCTTAGAACTAATGTTTTGTTTAACTAGGATTGATTCACATAGAGATATAGAATTGAATTAGTTAAATGGGCACAATGAGAACTCGAGAGACGTAAATTGAATAATTTAGAAGAATTCAACCGAACACTGCAATAGTAATGAATCTTGATTGACAAATTAAAGGAGATTCACATGTAAAGTTGTAAGTCCTAACATCCACGTTCATACTTTTAAAAATCAAATTCGATAAATTGTGTACGTTAGATAATTTAGTTTAGTTAGAATAATTTAGATATCAATCACAAACCTTATTATTTATTTTCAATTAAATTAAAGTTAGGAATAATTTAACCAATTGTTACTAGTAATTCTCGTGGGAATGATATCCGAACTATTAATCCACTATATTACTTATTACGATCCGAACACTTGCGAAATATAAAAATCGACACCTATCAATCACCCCGCCCGTCTATCTTTAACATGTAGCTGGTTGTACACGAAACAAAGCTTGCATTTTTCAACCCCAAGTTTTGGCTGGAGGGTAGAGAGAGATTTTTTTTTTTGATTGGTTGGGAGGGGTTATACCGCTGATTTCTATGAACTTTTTTGCAGTGGGTTGTTTTAGTAGTTATCTTTAAATGGAAAATTCAAGTCATTAATTAGAAAATAAGAATGATGTCTAGTTAGAAGTAAGATCATGTTACATATACATCATATTTGATATAAAGATTTACATCACATCATTTACATTTTATCATTTTATAGTTTAAAACACAATCATCTCTTCTATACAATCGCCTCATGCCACATATCTTTCGGCACTGCTCCTATGCAGCTCGGCTTCGCCATGCTCTGCTCTAGCTCAGTCCGAGCCAAGAACACAATGAATATAATGCTCACCAACATTCTCGACTCTGCAGCCGGAGGTTTATTCTACTACGTCTTCGGCTTCGCATTTGCATTCGGCTCATCAGATGGTTGGGCCAGTGCAAACAATATTGAATGCTACAATAATATATGCTAGAAAATAATACACTTTCACGTCACGTCAAACTTTATAACCGTGTAAAGTTCAATTTTACCATTTACTTGTTTCTTTGACTACGAAATTGACTTGTGGTAGGGGTATAATCAACATAATTTTCACTTTGAAGTGAAAGTGAACCTCTATAAATTCATATATTTACGTTCTTTTTATTATAGATAAATACAGGGACATTCTTGGTTAAGAACGAACTGAAATTTTTTTCTTCTTTTTCAATTACACATTTCCCATCATATCACTATTCAAAATCAATTCTTCCCCCAAAAATCTCTCCCAAACAAGCTCATAGTTGGTGTTTCGAATTAAAATCTAGTTGAAAAAAATCCATGCAGTCCAACAATCAGGACTGACTGTAAAATATATAGTAAGGATGTATTCATGGGACACTAGAGGTTCAAATTTTTGCACTTGTCATCTTTGATAACTTCATGCAACTCTTCCTAAAAATCAATGTTCTATATGCAATCGTTCTGTTCGATAAATGCAGCGGAGTGAGTCAGTTTATGAAATGCAGAGGAGCGTATACACCGCGTAAGTGCTATAATTCTGCTTTCCATTTTACATTTTGAGCTGTGGCACTTTCGAATGTTCAACCCCTCTCAATTTTCAGTCCTAGAATCCTAGTTCTACAGCAAGTTAAGGATGAAAAATACAATCTTGTAACAGTAACAATGTACCAAATAAAATTGCATACATATATGTACAAATACATGCAACATAGGTAAATACTGTGGGCAAATGAGACCTCACCCGGCATGATTTGGAGGCGATCCAAACCCTGTTTCTCAAAATCCGCAATAATTTCATATGCCCGTTTCTGCTTGTCGGGGCTCCATGTCTCAATATGGTGCAAAATATCAATACCAGACGGGTTCTCGGACTTAATTTTCAAATACTCTTTTTCCCCGAGAACTGTTTTGTACATTGCAGGGAAATCGATGACGGGAACCGTTAGAGTTCCGTCCATGTCGAACACCACGCCTCTCAGGCGAGCCTTGGTGGTGGCGGAAGGGGCGGAGGTGGTCATTGACGAAAATGCCCTTCTGGAGTGGAGGAAGTGGAGGGTTCTCAGAGTGAGGATTTGCATTGTTCCTTTTATACTGCGAGTGGATTGTGGAGGGGTGATTTTGGAATTTAATGAGTGAAAATCAGTGGTGGTTGATTGTTGGGATCTGGGAGATTTGTGAATTGTTGGATCAGGTAAATATGATTGATTGAGGAAGACAGAGAGACAACCTCAGACCAGACAAAGCCTTTGTTTGGTTTTCGCCAAAAAAAAATAAAAATTCATCTAAGAGTACACGTAGAGATTGACATAACGTGAGCAGAGTGAGATCCACGATTGTACATAGCAATTGACATAATATGAGTGGAGTGAGACAACGATACTGTGTACACCTATGTACACATAGCACTTCCCAAAAAAAAGGAGTAATGTTAGATGTACATCTAGTTTGACATTCCTCACACATAGGGGTGGATCTGCAATTTTAAAAAACATAGGCCCCACCCCCCATGTGAGGGGAGTGTCAAAGTGTACAACAAGAATTATCTAAAAAAATAAATCCGTTCATTATAAACATTGTTGATATCACAAGTATTTTATCATTGAACAGTATGATACATAAAGAGTATTTATCTTGTGATACTTTTATGTAATCGGATTACCCAGAAATTTTATAAATTTCTTATCATAATTTGAGAAAAACACGTACATTAGGTTTGCTTTAATCTTAAGCCCGTGTTTTGTAGAGATTAAAATTAGATTTGTAATATATTTTAATAAAAATTAGATTTTAATTTTTTTCAAATGGGGGAATGTTTTGGAGGCTTGTTCTTATTCACTTAACAAACTCTTGAGCCTCCTTTACACCGCCTTCCTCACAGAAGCCATGGGGAGGGTGAAACTAAGGAAGACAACTAAATACTACGAAATCAAAAGAATGATCTCTAGAGGTAATTATCTGGCATAGAGCCAGCCTAGTTATTTCTCATTTTCAAAGACCATATTGATAAGTGTGTTTTATACACTTGTTTGAATTTTAAAATATAGACATTTAATAATTCTTTTGAACAATTACAGCCTAACTTTTTTTGTATATTTTGTTTATTGGATGAAACTCAATGAAAGGAAGTGGATAAAAAGAAAGAAGCAAAAAATGGCGAAAAATAGCAAGATCCAAAGTTTGAGGACTAAAGTGTAAATACCCAAAAGTTGTGTTGAACCTCACGATGAAAATTCAAGAATGCCAGAAATTAATTGGATGCAATTAAAAGTAAAAAAAAAAGTGAATTGTGATCAAAATATTTTTACAAATCAATTTTCAACTGCACATATATGTTCTAGACTTTTAGCCCGAGATTGAGACTTCTTTTTGACCTAATAAAAGTTCGAATTGGAAAAATTATAATTCTAGTAAAGTTGTATCCCTATGAGTTTTCTTTATAATCCAATTTGAAACTTCTTAATTGGATATCGGCAGAGAAAGTTGTGATAAAAATAATAAAGGAAGTGCAGTGCAAATTTTCACCCGTAGCCGAGGCGCCACAAAATCACACAATATAGAGTTGCGGCACCACGACGCCAATCCCATCCCGTCGAGTGTCGCTCGGGTGTATCTAGGGCACTTTTTTGCCCATTTTGAAGCCCGTAAAAATCCTACATTCGGTACAAACGTGGGGAGGAAAATAAATGCAAGTTTTTGACACTTTTGAGAGAGTTTCACACATTGAGGGAGAGAAAAAATATATAATCATCAAGATCAAATAGCAAAAGCTAGGTTTGAAGACTTTCGAGGTTGAATAAGATTTTTGGTGCAAGATCAAATTCTTTCCACGATCAAAATTTCAAAACTCAATTATGAACTCTATACTTTTTGTTTTTCTTTCATTATTATGAGTAGCCAAATTCCTAATTGGGGGCGAACAATGCAATCTATGTGTGACAATTTATTTCGTTTATTCAAGAATTTAATTCTTTAAATGCATGTGTATTGATTTTTATTCATGAATTTAATATTGTAAACTCTTTGGCCAATTATTCAACGATTTTGTGTATTTATTACAAATCGAGGGGTGAATTTTAAATTTAGACCACATATTAAAATCCGATAATTTAGTATAACGTATAGAGATATTTATACTAATTATTACGGTAATTAGATAAATTCTTAGAACTAATATTTCGTTTAACTAGGATTAATTCACATAGAGATATAGAATTGAATTAGTTAAATGGGCATAATGAGAACTCGAGAGACATAAATTGAATAATTTAGAAGAATTCAACCGAACACTGCAATGGTAATGAATATTGATTGACAAATTAAAGGGATTCACATGTAAAGTTGTAAGTCCTAACATCTACGTTCATACTTTTAAAAATCAAATTCGATAAATTGTGTACGTTAGATAATTTAGTTTAGTTAGAATAATTTAGACATCAATCACAAACCTTATTATTTATTTTCAATTAAATTAAAGTTGGGAATAATTTAACCAATTGTCAATAGTAATTCTTGTGGGAACGATATCCGGACTATTAATCCACTATATTATTTATTATGATCCGAACACTTGCGAAATATAAAAATCGACACCTATCAATCACCCCGCCCGTCTATCTTAACATGTAGCTGGTTGTACACGAAACAAAGCTTGCATTTTTCAACCCCAAGTTTTGGCTGGAGGGTAGAGAGAGATTTTTTTTTGATTTGTTGGGAGGGGTTATACCGCTGATTTCTATGAACTTTTTTGCTGTGGGTTGTTTTAGTAGTTATCTTTAAATGGAAAATTCAAGTAATTAATTAGAAAATAAGAATGATGTCTAGTTAGAAGTAAGATCATGTTACATGTACATCATATTTGATATAAAGATTTACATCATACCATTGACATTTTATCATTTGATAGTTTAAAACACAATCATCTCTTCTATACAATCACCTCATGCCACATATCTTTCGCCATTGCTTCTATGCAGCTCGGCTTCGCCATGCTCTGCTCTAGCTCAGTCCGAGCCAAGAACACAATGAATATAATGCTCACCAACATTCTCGACTTCGCAGCCGGAGGTTTATTCTACTAGGTCTTTGGCTTCGCATTTGCCTTCGGCTCATCAGATGGTTGGGCCAGTGCAAACAATATTGAATGCTACAATAATATATGCTAGAAAATAATACACTTTCACATCACGTCAAACTTTATAACCGTGTAAAGTTCAATTTTACCATTTACTTGTTTCTTTGACTGCGAAATTGACTTGTGGTAGGGGTATAATCAACATAATTTTCACTTTGAAGTGAAAGTGAACCTCTATAAATTCATATATTTACGTTCTTTTTATTATAGATAAATACAGGGACATTCTTGGTTAAGAACGAACTGAAACAAATAAAAAATTATGACATCCACAAAAACATGGAAAGAGTACAAATTTAGTGCTATTTGTGTCAATTTCACATTACTATTTGGGCAATCCAAAAGTTTGATCGTTGATGGGCTCAGAGCTTGGACTACTTTCGTAGTTGGCCCATTCGTATCTCCAGTTCATACGTTCCTCTCAGAAAAATTGAGAGAGAGAGCATTCTAGAGAGAGAAGGAACAATGAAGCCGCAACCGGTGGACTATTTTGTGGAGATGGAGGAACAAGGCGGTGCCACCGTGGCGATGGACGTGGACGATGTTGAAGCCTTAGAGATCTTCGGCGAGGGTCCACTCTCGATGGAGGTCCACCGCCTTGCCGATTCCGACTTCTTCAACTCCTTCCAGGATGACTTCGATGACTCTGACATCAACTGATTCTGTGTACTTCGCTATCTTCACCTGTCCATTCCATGTTTTCAGCCAATTAAGCCGTTGATTTACTACGTTGTCAAGAAATTTGGAACATGTATTGAAAAAATATGACGTTGTTATGGCAATTTAAATAAATGTTCAATCAATTTCTTGCTTGCTTTTTACTTATATTTTTCGCTAATTGGTTATCATTTGTTTGGAATTTTTGGTCGTTGTAAAACATTTTGAATTGCTGTTGTGAAGAACTTGTTGGTATTTCTCTGTGTTTTCCTGAATTTTGACAGGGTAATTGGGGCTTCAGATTTTGCTTATGGCTGTTTGACTTTGCTTAAAAGCAAGAAAAGAAAAACAACTTTTTTTGGGACAATAACACCATCAATGCTGTCTAAAAACCATTTTAAGCTAGGGCGAGAATGTGCTCCTACTTGTTCTTGCATTGAATTTTAGGATTCAGGATAATAGACACTGTTGTATGCCTTGGCGAAAATCTTATTGTTGTGAGTAGCAAATCAAATTCACTCCTCCTTTTCATCAGGAGGATTAGAATTCGACCTTTGTGTTCTATGACTAACTATTGCATTTTATGGTCGAGTGCCTATATGTAAGTATATGGCCGCGGAACAGGTGTGTTCTTGGTTAAAATTAGGATTTATGAATTGATGTAGCATTTAAACACTGCAGAAATGAGTGTTGTGGATAATAGATGTGGTTGAATGAAAAACCAAGAACTTTTTTATGTTCTCCATTTGCGAGTAATATTTGCATTATATATCATTGGCACATTTTTGTCGCCTTATCTGATTCTGACTCCTTGAAATCCTTCCTAGTGGTGCCTTCAAAGTTTCCGACATCAATCAACTAATCTTGTGTTTTCCCCATTGTTTCTTTATCCATTCCAAAGGTGCCTTTGAAGTTTCCGACATCGATCAACTAATCTAGTGTAGTCCCCAAGTTACCATTGATTTATCACAGTTAACATCACGCTATTTGTTGTTTCATCAAAAATATTTGCATCAGTTCTTGGAAATCATGATGTTGCTGAGAATATGAATAGGTCGTTCAATGTTGTAATGGCATTCTTTTTCTTATTTTTATAATTAATTGGCTTTCAATTCTTTGGACAGTGTTTATTTTGTTAACATTTTGAATTGCTGTTCTGTAGTACTTGTTAGTGTTTTCTCCCTATTTTAGTGAATTTTGACTGGGTAATGGAGGGCTTTAATTAGGATTTAGCTAATTGTTATTTTAGGCTAACATTAATTATGTGGGAACATTTTTTTTTTTTTTTTGGGTATGTCGAACGATAGACGTTGTATGAAGAACGCGAGAATAGCAACAACGCAAATGCAGTGGCGAAAAAGGAACTCAAATCATTATAACTATGTTTATGAGTTATAATTTCGAAGTCGAAGTAGAATAAACATCTAATGTTCGGCTTCAAGTTTTTTTCTAAAGGTCTATGGGGTTATACTTTTTTATGGTCATTTAAGATTTGTGTTATTTTAACGTTCCATAATACTTCGGACGTTTTGGTACATATTTCTTGTCATTTAAGATTTTTGCTGTTCGATTATTTTGTGATATGATGATAATACTTGCATAAGAGAAATGTTGCTGCAAATAACCATTTGGGAAGAATTTATGAATTGTGAATAATACTTATGGGTCTATTGGAAAGTGTGGTTGAAAATGAAGTTTGATCATTCATAAATAGAACTCAAAATATAACACACTTCTCATTTCCTTGAGAGAAACCGAGTATGCAAATGTAGAACAAGGCCATATATGAAACGAGTAGGCCAGAAACATTAGTTCCTCTATTCATGATGAAGGTTAAAAGGGTTTGTAGCGTTCTGTTTAGTTTAAAAATTGATATCATTGTCACAGCGATTGGTCAGAAAGACAGAAATTTGATCCACCTGAAACTGGAATCACTGATCTCTACGAAGTTAGCACGGGAAAATAGCAGCAGATATCTGTACAAAACCCACTGAGAGAAATATAAGCTGTTTGATGCCGAACTCTCCACATGCTAGAGCCTTTTCTCGAGCACTGGACACTTTTTGGTTCGTAAATTCAACTTCAGATATGCTGGCCAGGCCGGATATTTTCTCAAATGATATGCAACATCACATCCTGGAAGAATAGCAAAGACTGTCATCAAAGTCGCAGTACAATAACATGGAGCCTTACGGTGAATTGAACCGTTAGAATGTGTGTGTGAACACAATTAACATGAGTTAGAATGTATAGCTACTATTCTGTACCTTATTTAGAATTTTCCTTTCTCTAGCAGGATTAAACCTGTAGAATATGTGTGGTTTGTGTTGAATCAATCATTGAGTCAAATATCAATTACATGCTTCACTAAATCTATTAGGGCATGTTTGATAGGCCCTTTTTTTCCATGGAAAATGGAATTGTTTTCCACTTTTGCCACATTTGATAGCCAAAATTTTCTTTGGAAAATATTTTCCTCCCACCCTCCATGTGACCCATTTTATCATATTTTTGGTGAATTGGTTTTCCCACCACTTTGGTAGAAAAATGATTTGCAATTTTATTTATTTATTATTATTATTTTTTGACAGTGAAAACAAATTCTATGGACGATTGTAAAAAAAAAAAAAAAAATCCTTTTAATGGACAATTTTTATGGAAAGCAAAGTCAAACGAACACCAAAAGATTCCAAATTGCAATATTTTTCATGTGAAAAATTATGCCAATCAAACACAATCAACTAACAATTCCCAGGAAAAACAATTCTATGCAATTCAATTTCATGTAATTCATTTTCTTTTTATCCAAATTTCACTTTTGCAATCAAACGGGCCCTTCAACTTTTTGATTTTCTCCTCTATCTTATCTATTTTTCGTGGATCCGTTACAAGTAGGAAAAGAAAGAATAGAACGTTACTTGTAAATCAGTTCATTTTCTAAACAAGAATAACTTCTTCATTTGGATGTTCCTCAAAATTGAAATATGAAACTCCTTGATAACCTAAATTATACATTCTAACACACACAAACAGGGGCTTTTTTTTGTCAATAAGACAGCTGGGAAACTCTCCAGCTTTGGCAAATTAAGGAAATGTCCACACAATCAATGCTTAAAATCCTTATAAGTTATAGACGGCCTTCAAACAGCAATATAGAAACTTAAAAAAGGATAGGACGGCAATTGGTCCAGATGTAAGCACGTGTTTTGATAAATTTATAAATCGTTTATCCTTAATATGATCGAAACACTTGTTGCACATACTTATGATCAATCTATACAATATTCATCAAATTTAAATTTAAATAATATAATCATTTGTATTACAATGAAGTATTAATGTTACATCTTGAGTTTTCACTATGGATACAAATTACAAGAAATTTGATAATCATTTGGTGTTCTATTGGTTGGGTAAATTTCTTCAGGGATCTTAACCTTTTATAATTGTGATAGTCATGGTCTCCAACTTTTGATTTGTACACCCATATCCCCTTATTTTTTAACAATAGTGTGCAAAATATCCCCGCGTGACGGAAATGACTATTTAGATGTAACATGCATGTGATGTCTAGCTGAAAGAATGTAAATTGATATAAATTGACATAAAGTTATGTGTCAAAGATGCGCACTCACATTGTCCTCTACTTCATCCCTTCCCTCCACTTGCAGTTATTTGTCCCTTTCTTAATCTTTGGTCCCTCTACATGACATAAAGTTATGTACCAAAGATGCACACTCACATTGTTCTCTTCTTCATCCCTTCGCTTCCCTCCACTCAATTCCTCCACCTCAACCTCTCAAAACCACCACTTGTTAAGGTGGGATGCAATTTCGTGTTATTATCTTTCAATCAGATTCTGTGAAGAAGTCAAAGATGGCTAATGCTGATGTATCATGTATGCCACAACAAGCATGCAGCACCATGGGGATAAACACAGTATCCAGATGAACTAACAAATATAGGACATTGATGCTGGTGCATAACATCAACAAGGATAGATAAGGGTTCCAACATGAACGAGGTTAAAATCTCTGAAGTATGTTTATGGTCACGTGCCTAATCTCAAACAGTTCAACTAGTTCCTCGACTCTAAGCCATTTTGCCACTGTGAATTACTCTCAGATGTATACATTGTTCAAAGGAGCAGTATCATTGTCACATACAGTTTCTGTCAAGTGGAATCGAAAGTAAAACCAGAGAAGCTTATTACATGACGTAACAGATTTCAGCAACTGCATCTAGATTTTTTTTTTGTGGTAGGAAAAGATGTAGTTGTACTCATCGAACGAATTAGAGGCCTCCTTATTCGCATGATGTAAGGAAATGATCTCTGGCCTGATCTCACTGCTTGTTTGTAGGATGAGATTCATTATTCATATAGACTAATCAATGAAGTAAACTATTAAAGCTTCCTTCCTCCATTCCTCTCTCCCTAAGTATATGGTAAGAACCAAGAGGGAAGACAAGGAGTTCATAGGAAGACAGTTAAAATGCAAATATAGAATAAGGTCCTTATTGATTAGCTGCAATTATCAGACCTAA